TTTTTTTTCTAGACATAGATAAGTAACAGTTATCCTATACCAAATATGTTTATCATTTACGATTAAAGATATTTTATTTATTTATAAAATACAATGGTTATAAAGGGCACGTGATGTTTTTAGTACATCGTTTTTGCCTAGGCCAGTTTGTTGAACATGAAGTATCAATTAAAAAAGAATAAAGACTAGAATTAACCAGACTAAAAGATATATGTCGATTGACTTTATTAAGGACGAGTATTTATACTAAATGTGAGACACTCTTCAACTGAGATCGTAAGACGTTTCATAGAGGCTTATGAATGACAATTGAGGCAATGAGCGAGTTAGGACGAATCGGGTGCTTTGACAAGACGATGGTCCCTAATAACAATAATGGATCAGAGTTATTGGATATGCGTACCTTAAAACCCAGTTCCTGGTAATTAGCTTAAATAATGATCTGCACAGTTGTTTCAAAGTAACAAGCTGAAGCCGAATAATCGCCAGTTATTGTTTCATATGTGGTAGTCCAAAATGATCTGGTTTGAGGGGAACGCAGTTTATGGATGGGAAGCTTATTTAAAAGGAAGGATAGGGAATTCATCATAGTCTTCGGTATTTGTAGACGGTAATGCATATCGAGACAGTAGACGAATGGCTGCCCGATTATAAAGCTGCTCATCTTCTTCGTCGTCTACTGTCTCGATATGCATTACCGTCTACAAATATCGGAGACTATGATGAATTCCCTATCCTTCCTTTTAAATAAGTTTACCATCCGTAAACTGCACTCCTAGTCAAATGGCTGCTGCTTGCACCTTCAGTGTCCGTTCTGCCAATCATGGCTACAAGTTCTTATACCTACCTCTACGCCGCCGCCTTACTATAGGTAAGCTACGCCCTCGTATGCGACAACTGAACATCAACACCCACCGTGTTCTCAACATCTATTATCCCGGTCGCCATCTTGTCGCCCTACTAGTCCATAATGACTATGGAGTTGAACTCTATTCACAATTAAAAAAATTTAAGATCTCCGTACAGGATGATTACGATCCTTTAGATTCCTCGAATCTTCGTGATCCCGATTACGACTACTGGGACGAAGCGAACATGACGTGCACCGTGCGTGGCCTGTTTACCTATCATATCCTTCATGCTTTCAGTTACCTTAAAGGTCCTGTTAAGCAGACTATAGCCGATTTCTTCGCTAGCAAAGGATATATTGATCGTAATGAATTCTCTGAGCTCTTTTCCGCCAAACAGACATGAGCTCTACTTCCTGTTCTCTCAATAGCCTCACTTCCTGAGATCCACTTCTCGGTCCCTTTCTTCAAGCCACAACATTTTTACCCTCAGACCCAGAGGGGTTTTTAGATACTTCTTTCACTCTTTGAACTGGCCCGGGCAAAATTAGTATAAAAACACTACGTGTCCAATTGGGTTTAATAAATTAAAGATTATTTAATCGTAATGGCATATGAATTGCTTAACACTGATATAATAACCCGCCATACCTTAAATTGCCGCATAAAGATGATGCAAAGGTTGAAGAATAACCAAGTAGTTATCAAAGGGGAAGCAATCTAAATATTACGTACACTAGCCATTAGTACAGCCTAGAAAGACAGATACACAAAGACAGTCAGGGCGAAAGAGAAGAAGGTTAGAGCAAAACTATAATGCTTATGCTAATCGATAATCATACTATCCAATAGAGATCTAATAGCTACTACAAAGAAGTGATGGATATTTATATGCTTTTGTTAGAAACATAACCACACTCCTATAGCTACTCTAGAATTGTCAGCCTGTGTTTATTTCAAGAGTTGTTGACTTGATTGTAATGCACAGATATGCCACACTCTGTTCTTTCTGTCCCGTCATAGGTTTTGATGCTTAATTAGATCAAATGATACTCTTTTATATAATGCTGATTTATTGATCTTTAGAAAGCTCGATGGCAAGTTTTTAGCATTTTGGTAAATTTGGATATACGGCTACTATTTTATGCATTTTTCCCATTTTATATATATATGCCTATATTTTTCTTGTCTTCAATTCTCGGATATTGATGAGTATAATCTATAATAAAATCTTATTCAGTTGAAACTTTATTAAAAAAAAAAAGCAAAGAACTCTCTACAATGAGTAGCTTGTAAAAAGTGGCTATTGTGATGGCTGCTGCTGCTCCTATTTATTATTAATATTATGAAATTAGACATTGTATATATCAATAGAACCATTGCTTGAAGAGCTGTTGGGCTGATCCATATAATAGTCCATTGAGTCGTTTCTTAAATTATTACGATTGTTATTACAACTGCTACTACTACTTCCACTACTATTATTACCATTTGAGCTACAGTCAGCCATGTTGCCACTTGGTAATACTGTGTTAAAATATTCTATAAAAGACATTTATAAATTTAGGCTTTCAATCGGTACACTTACCTGTTACTGCTTGGTGAATTCATCTTCACTCTTTTACGCTGTCTCATTATTCTCTTATTTTCTTCATCTTGTTTACTTTTAAAGTCTGCTAAATAAGCCTGATATTTCTAATCAAATAGAATTAAAACTTGGTATATAAAGGTATGAACATATATGTACTCTATATTCTGGTGTTTGCTTGTATCGATTGAGTGCATCAATATATTCATCTTTAGCTCGCATAGCATTACACTCGTAGACTTGCTTTTCTCTTGCATCTAGTTTTTTCCACTGCTCGCCAACAATCTTTGCAATTTCAGCAAAGGAAAGGTTGTGATCTTTTAACTGGGCTCTTGAATCGTTTGAAAACATAACATAAGCAGAAGGAGGCTTCACAGGGGCATGGATATCGGGCTTTGGGTGTCTTTTATATTTTCTGGTATATCCGTGTAACGATTGATCGCTACTGCTGGTCCCATCCTCTTCGTATTCATCAAATGATGTTTTCCCATTATTGTTTGTATTATTGCTAAAAGAAGAAGATGATTGCATGGATCCATAGCCACTTGAGCTTTCACCGCTCATGTCTTTCTTATTTGCTGTTTCGCTTATTTTTTTATAGTAAAATGGAGGGCGAGGGGAAGGGAATAATAATTTGGTACTCGGATCAACTTGAGGAGGGATAGAGTTGACGATCAATGGCTGATGTTTTGGTATTCCATTCAACGTAGCGATTTCTCTTTGGATAAGCCTTCTGTGCCCTCTTTTAACGTTTAACGCAATTAGGTCTTCTTCCGTTATTTCATAAACCTTCATTTTGTAATATATTTTTTTAGGTTATACATATTTCAGTATAAAATAAAAAACATGACAAAAGGGTACTATGAACAACAATCACTTACAGCTTCCATTGTATCAAAACCTTCTTCGAAAAATATAGGTGCATACTGATCAAGTTGACACTTCTTTAAGAATTCAATCACTTCATTTTCTCTCGATTTTTGGGTGTAATGGTTATTCTGTGTTGTGTATGACATCCTTTCATAATCAATTTCACTATAAACACATATAAGAGAGACAGACTACATTTTCTTATATTTGATTTTTTACGATCAATATAGTCTTGCTCTTCTCCTCCAACAAAAAAAAGTCCCTTTTTATTTTATGCTCTTTTTCTTCCTATTTATTTATCGATAAAAGAAAAAAAAAGAAGGGGAAAAAAAAACGAATTTCAAAAATTTTGTGCAAATTTTTTTTTCGACTTCTCTTCGAATATTCCTTATAAGGGAATAGAACAGTGAAGGATGGTTTCCAGAAGTTTCTTTCTTAAAAAGTAACTCTCCTTATATTTTATCAAATCTAGAATTGAACAAGAGGTTAATAAGCATAAATGGAAGTTGAGGCAAAATAAACAGATTATTTGTCTCATTCATTATTATGACCAGGTTAAATAGAAGGCTTGATCTATTTTAACTTCTGACATCATTTTGTCGATTTCCAAAGAGCTTGTGTCACCTAGAATGAATCAAATATTTAAATGCCCTTGTCAACACACAGGCCAGATTGATCCCCTCTACTAATCATGCCTTCATTTCAAACCTAAAGGCACGACAACATAAAGTTGAGAAATAGCCTAAAAATTAGGCAGACAAGTAGAATTTTCATTAGTCTCACTCTCGTGATATAGTACACACAATACCAAACAGGGGATGATTAAAGTCTACGATCTCATAAAATAAAAAGTTGAATAGGTGTGTCTAGTTTACTTGATCATAGCCAATACTAATAATAAACCATAGAAAGTACATAAAGTGAAAAACTCATTTAATTGTCCCCTAAGTAACATGGTACCAAATAGGCTCCGTTTCTAGCAACAATGCACTATGAACAATAGCCAACGATAATGGTATTTCAGCAAATATATCATTCTCTTTTTTTAATATGAATAGCCTCGAGTTATCTCCTTCCCTATTGATTATAATGCAAACAGCAAGGAGACAGTATGACTTTATTATTGAATTTATTTGTATTCCTTTTCTTTTTTTCGTATTTAGTCTACATACATACAAACTTGTGCAAATCAGCAATAAGCCAAGGTATAATTAAAAGCTACCACCTCCTATATGTCGACTGCTCATAATGGAATTCATTTGCTGTCTTCGCTGTTGCTCTAATTTTGGACAGTCATTAATGCGGTGACCAAGACCGCCACAGAAGGAACATCCTCCTGACAATCCTCCATATTTCTCGGTAGGATCTTCCATAATAGCCAAGAAAGGTGGAATGCGCTGTTTGGCTTCCTTTAGCAAATGCTTCAAGTCTAGTCTTATCTGTTCTGAACAATGCTGATTGATAAAGGTGGTAGCAATACCAGTTTTACCGCTTCGGCCAGTACGACCAATTCTATGAACTATGTGGCATAAGTCATTCTATATATTAGCTTTACTCAAGTTTGCTTACCATAATCTTCGATTTCTTTAGGCATATCAAAGTTAATAACATGTTTAATTTCGGCAAAGTCAAGACCCTTTGATGCTACATCAGTAGCCACAAGCACATCCTTTTTATAGTTTTTGAACGATTGAATAGCATATTCACGTTCCTCTTGTGCTATGGAAGTATAAGCAACAATATGTACATCATTTCATTTAAAGCTTACTTTTGCCGCCATGAATAGCAACGGCTTCCACGCCTTTCAACAGCAGATACTCATGGATATCATCCACATCATTTTTATTTTCAGCAAAGATAAGAACCTAACATTACATGGTTAGAAAAGCTGCTTTTGAGATATGATTGTTACTTACTGGTGGTGGTGTCTTTTGCAGACATTCAAGTAAATATACCATCTTTGCTTCTTGCTTTACATACTCTACTTCTTGAATAACATCCAAGTTGGCTGCGCCGGCTCTTCCTACATTGACTATTATTGGCTTGACTAACGCAGACAATGCAAACTCTTGAATCTTTTTCGGCATGGTTGCTGAATACAGAATAGTTTGACGCTGACTCTATAAAAGATACAGTTCGTTTAGTCTTTTTTAATGGTCATCATTTTTTCAACCACACCTTGAAGTAGGACATAATAGTTCGCACATCCTCTTCAAATCCCATATCAATCATGCGATCGGCTTCATCCATACATAAATATTTACAGTTATCCAAATTGATCTTCTTTTTGTTCAATAAATCTATCAACCGTCCTGGTGTCGCAACTACCATATGAATACCTCTGTAATAGCTTTTAGTTTGTGCATAATTGTTAACGAATGCTTCATTTGTTACCTTTTGAGAACATCATATTGCTCCCTCATATCTATGCCACCAATACACAGTAATGGCCTTAGTTCAGGATATCCTCCCTTGACCAATGCTGCCGCCATAGTGGATAATCCTTCAAATGTTTGTCTTGCTAGTTCTCTCTGTATACAATGAGTGTCTTTTACAAAAAATGTATTCATAAAATACTACTTACAGATGGGCATAAAATCATACCAACAGGTCCCTCACCCTGCGTCAATGGTAGTCTTACTTCCGCTTCCAGTGCAAACATGACTAAAGGCAATGAAAATGACAGTGTCTTGCCAGATCCTGTAAACGCAATACCAATCATGTCACGTCCTTTTAATCTAAAAGACATGTAAGGTATTCTCTCTTTAAGTATTAGTCAATTCATATACTTACGCAACTGGTAATCCTTGTAGTTGGATAGGTGTTGGTTTATCGATCTTTTTTTCCTTTAGATACTTTAAAATTGGTTCAGGGAACTTCATATCTCTGAAATCAGTGATGGGTGGTACTTGATCCTCGCCTTCGACAATAATATGGTACTTGTTGCGTATCCTTTGTTGCTCTTCCACTGGCATTTCTCGAATATATCTTGGAGGCTGCCAACTAAGATGCGCAATTAGGGCATTGTGTTCTTATGATTTTTTGTTCCCACTTACGATGATTTCATCGGTTCGGTATACACTTTGCCAGCTGCAGCTTCTTGTACTGAAACTAAAGCTTTATGACGTGCCTGTGCTTCTTCAATCCTTCTTTCTTCTTCTAATCGCTTCTCTTCTTCAGTTTTCTCTATATAAATCAATAGTAAGTGTATGTGGATTTTTGCATCTGTTTTCGATTAAAGTACCTGGAATGGCATTGGATAATCGTTGTTGAACTGTTTGATCCAACAAACTCATGTTGGCTCTGGGCCCAGCAACATCATTGACTGGTTCGTCTTCTTCTTCTTCGTCATGTTGTCGATAATGACTTGATCGATGGCGTTGTGTGGCATATCTATGAAGCTTTTCTAAACGTCTCTGTTTTAGCGGAACATAAGGAACGTAATCATCGTCTAAATCTTCGAGATGCTGCAAACAATGGTTAGTATGTTTACTTTTTTATAATAGCTCAAGATGTCCTGTCTAACCTGTGCTTCGCTCATTTCAATGAATCAGTAAATTAAAAAAAGGGAAAAAAAAAACTGTATTTTTTTTCTGGCATAATTCACCCAAATAACCCAGCACTGACTGGATTATCCAAATAATTCAAAAAGACAAAGCAGCAGATGAGTGAGAGTAGAGTATATCATTAATTTATATATAATATTCTTTTTCTTTCTCTTAATTTCTTGTCTTTTATATATATATATATATATATATATTTAACTGTGAATCGCTTAAGTATGGTCGTTTTATGATATAGCTACGGTATTTATTTCTTAAGATACGCAACAAGCTTACAATGTATGAAGCTTTACCTATCTTTTCTATAGGAAAAGCTCTGCTCATTCTATCAAGAGGTTAACCTATAGTAAACATAGAACGCTTTTTAAAACAGACACACTATCTAAGCATGTAAATGGGTAACAAGTGAGTTAAAAATATCTTTTACAAGATTGATTGTACAAGCAAAAAAGACATAAATAAGGCAAGAGCAGAAACTAGCAGCAGAAGTTAAACAGTACCAATAAACACAGGAAAATGTTATGAAAGTAATTATAACTCCAAGAGCCAAAGTAGCCTAAAAAGATAGAATTGAATTATATGAAAACCAAAAAGGTTACAAAGAACAGTGAAAGATAAATATATGCTATTTGAATGCAAAGAAGACAAGGCTTACATTTATCAATGTCAGCTTTTGTCTTATGCCGTCAAAAGCATAAGATGGGGCTACTTTCAAGTTAAGGCATGTGCTATCTTTTCCTATAACCAGTATTAGCATTAATATTGAAATATAACTTAATTAATGTAAAAGCAAGCATAGAATATGATAATAGTTTTTATTGGTTCTTAATAACGATTAACTATGAGTAATTTATTTCAAAAGCGTAATAGCCTTACTTTTATCAGGATCCAAGGTTTCGATTGTTCTTTTGAGTGCTTAAAAATAAATGAGAATGAAACAAAGACATAAAGACAAGATAGGTTACAAAGCCTTTTACATTTCATACTTTTTTTTGCCTTATTTTTTCATTGTAAAAACAATTTAAAGTGAATTTCTATTTTTTATTTCATTCAGTTAGAAAGTAATAATAACTACAAAGCACAATATATTAAAACAGACTCTTACATTTAGGCCTTTGGAGGGATATTTCCTGAAATCTGTTGACTTTTTTTATAAATTAAAGAAATAAATATGATCGATGTGATTGTATACAACAAACAATAAGGAAACAAAAAATAAAATAAAATATTTAATTGCATAAAAATTCCAAGAACTACTACTATGAAAGTATCTTAGTTTGCTTCAAGCAATAAACTTTTGCTTTATAATATTCTACTTTTTTGCAACCTGTAAAGTCACGAAAGAGAACAATTCATTTTCTTTGACTAAACTTCTTTAATTTAAGGACTGGTACTCAAAGCTTCTATTTATGAAATATGGGATAGCTGAAAAATGTAACTTAATGTGTAAATTTAAAAAGGAGAGAAAAGCAATTTATATATATATTTTAATCGTTTATTATATATTCTTTAAGACGAAAAGCAGCAGCAGAATTCAAGGTAAAATGGAAAAACAGTTTAATTTGCTAAAATATAGCATTTACGCGAGATATAAAAAAAATTAAAAAGAAAAATTATGTTGCTATACTTAGCTTGCTTTTTATTATTATTTTTTTCTGACAACCAGAGGAAAACTGTAATATTTATCTATTGCCTGAAGGCAATGTAAAAGAAGAGTTAAAGTCTACAATAGAATGTCTGTGTACTGTATTAGCGATAAAACATAATTGTATCGTTATCGTTTTTCTTAGGAACCACATCCCGAAACGTAAAAATAAAAGCCTCGATAGTAAAAACAAACAAACTAGGAAAAAGGCGATAAAGAGAAAATTTATACTTTTAGCATAATTCAATAGAGCAACAAAATATGGTTTGAGCACGTTTAAAATGGAAAGCAACATATCATTACTATGACATATCAATAGTTTTATTCATAAAAGACAATAATCAAACGCTATCGACCATGAAAAGGTGACTTGCAAGGCAGAGTTATTGATATTCGTGGTCTTACTATCTATAATTAAAGCAGCTAGGATCGACTTCTTGGATGCAAGCTAGCAATTCACCACCTCTTCCCTTAATAACGCATTCGCTACTTATGTCAAGGCAATTCTTAGTTTGCCCTTGCGCATAAGATACATTGGTGAGGACACAGAGAGCCATGAAGAGAGCGATAAGAAAGGTAGCAAATGGCTTCATTTTAATTTGGTGAATGATTCTTTACTCCAGTTGCTGATCTTAAGGGGGCTATCCCTTCATCATCTTTGGCATGTGCGCTCTACCCAAATAGTCATTTTTACTTTCTGCTTTATGTTGTATGTCTATTAGACTAGACTAGCCTTCTCTCTGCAGCAGACACTAATTCAAAGGTTGCCTTGATGATCCCGTTCGCTAAAAGTGCTTCGACAAGGAAACGTGCATTTTGTAGTCATGCAAGTCCTATGCAGACTTTATTCTAAAATAGGAAATTAAAAGGCAGCATCTTTCCTTTAGAGCATCGGAATCAAACAGTCCAACAGCTAACGCGAGTAGTCATTACAAAGCAACTAAAAGCTATTATCACTTAAACTGGTACTCAAAGAGTGTGTATTTAATTGGTGAATAGAGAGAGCAAGGCTATTGGAGTAGAAGAGATTGAGAGATCAACAAAACATAGAGAAACGGCCGCATGTTGGTATACATACTTGCAGGAAACGGAAGTGATGAGAAGTTAACTGTTCATATAGCAAAAAAAAAAAAACTATAGGCCGTAGGGTAATTCAGTAGGCTGTAGAATGTCGTCGAGTCTCTGATGGATCGATTACTCGGTAATCCATCCAGCATTTACATTTAACCATACTAAAGAAAAAGCAATTTGTATATAAAGAGGGCTATCTCCGGCCTTGCATGACAGTTTGCCCAGGGTAAATTAAATAAAAGGATGATCAGAAAAGGAATATGATATAAGAAGAGTATTAGGCAGAATAGTTTCGGAGAAGTACACTGTTGAGGATTTTAGATAATAAGAGCAATGATCGACTGCGTGTGCTGGACACAGAAGTTAACTCAGGACGCTTTATAAGCAATGAAGAAGTGTAGGCTTATACTTGGCGCATCGAGAGCAGCGTATTACCAAAAGTGTTTTGTTATAAATAGTGGAAACATGATGCATGACTCCTGGAGCCAAACAGGACCAAGTAGCATTCTTCAAACTATTGGCCATAAAAGAAAAGGTAAAGAAGATGTATCAGCTACTGAAATCGAGGAGTATTGAATGATAAAACAATCTCATTGAAAGTAATCATAGACGGAATATTGTTTCCTAATAAGTGCCTCAAAACTGTTGATACTTTGAACTTTTTTTATAGCCATAAAATGTTACCCAGTGGTACTTAAAAGTCAGGCATGTACCAAGCTTGTCCTAGACTGGGACGAATAAGTGCAATTGTCGCACAGTATTCTAGTGTGCATCAAGAAAATAGGTAGCGGACGATATAATTAACAGATGCATGACATCGACTAACTTGTACTAAAAAAGTAGCTTATACGCTAAACCTTAGTGTATTTTTTCATGAATCATGGAAGAAAACTTGTCATTGTGGCGTAACTTTAAAGCTACTCGTAAGCTGTCACTTCGGAGGCTAAAAGTCACAGCTGTCCGCCCGCCCGCAGACATGGAAAATTGAGTTTGTTGGCCTTTCAATAGTGTCCTTTTCCCTTTTAATATTTTAGTGCAAAAGTATATGAACCAACCACCCGAGCCCGGCAATGCCAGGCAGCAAGCTTTTACTTTTTTGATACCTTCTATTAGTCTTGATGGAAGTTCAAAATACCCTCCTTTTTTCGATGTACGTTTGATTGACAGATAGAAAATAGATAAAATGAGCTTATTCTTTTTTCATAGGCATGTATTGCTGGTGGCATTGGTGGTTCAACTGCTGATTTTATTATGCACAGGTATACAATGAAAGATAAACAATCACTTATTACTCACTCTTATTTAGTGTGGATACAGTCAAAACAAGGTTACAGGGTCAACCCCACAGTAGAATTCAGAAATATACAAGTATGGTTCAAGCATACAAGACTATATTTAAACAAGAAGGCATTATGAGAGGTTTATACGCTGGCGTAACCCCAGCCATGATTGGCTCAAGTAAGAATGTACATTATCTCAACTCTTCTCACTCACCTTCCCCTTTTCACACAGTCCCCGGCACAACACTCTATTTTGCTGTTTACGAAACAACCAAACGCACTCTGAACGAAGCCCATGTGCCTGAAGTGCTGTCTCATTTAGCTGCTGGATCGCTCGGTGATTTGGCTGCATCCGTCATTTATGTTCCTTCAGAAGTGCTAAAAACTAGATTACAACTACAAGGCAGATATAACAATCCACACTTTGTGAGTGGCTACAATTATAGAAATACATGGCATGCAACAAAAATGGTAATTATTATATTTCACATTTGAACAAGTATCTTATCGACCCTGACACTATTCGTTGCATGCGTCACTTGGATATGTATAGATTGTCAAGTATGATGGATTTGGCGCATTATTTCATGGATTTAGAGCAACCATATTACGAGATGTACCGTATTCTGCTATTCAGTTTGCATGCTATGGTAAATTTGAATTGAAAAGAACACAAGAATTATCATTAATATTTCTTGACAGAACAATTTAAAAAGATTGCGCAAAAGAGATATGATCAAGTGCCGATGGGGGTAGACATGATCACTGGATCGTTGGCAGGAGGAATAGCAGGAGCTGTCACTACACCTTTAGATGTTATGAAAACGTTATTACAAACACAATTAAGTGGAAACAGTGGCTCGGGTAGCAGCAAGAAGAAAGCACTAGTGACGACCTCGGCTACATCAAAGCCTATTGTCGTTGATCCGCCCGTGAAGCATTATAATGGAATTATGGAAGGAATGATATGGAATTACAAAAACCAGGGCTTGGCAGGATTGTTTAGAGGCATTGGTCCTAGAGTGTTTTGGACTAGTTTACAAAGTGCCATCATGTTTGTCGTTTACGAACAAGTATTACATCTCCAAGCAGATCTAAGAGAAAAGGGAGACTGGCCACCGTCAAAAGCAGCAGAACGAATCACACTATAAGTAGTATGTCATACCTTCCCCATTTTTCTCTCTTCTCCCTCTCTTTCAGCATAATACCTTGTTTTTCTCTCTTTGTTTATTAGTTTTCTCTGTAATATATAAAATAGAAACACCCACCGAATGTATGCACACATGTATAAAAGGCTTTTATTTTACAATTCCGGTAAAGCGGTCAATAGACTTTTGATAATGCGCTTACCAGCAATAAGATTTAGTAAACGAATACGCTCATTATGCAAGTGAGCTTGATCAGAGGACTGTCCAAAAGGGATATGAACTGCTGGAGCATTGCAGAACTTTTCTAACCATCGTACGGCTGGAATTGATCCACCTTCTCGAATATAAAGAGGCTTCACTTTCCATTCTTTCTCAACTGCCATCTCTACTGCTCTGAAATATTTATTGTTCAAGTCACCAAGCCAGTACTCTGCTACACTTTCAATATTGACGGATATCTTGTTATCTGATTTACAGCTGGCAAATACTTGGTGAACATATTCCGTAAATTGAGAGCATATTTCGGATATCGATTGATCCGGCACTACACGCATGCTTACAGATGCCTTTGCAGTACGAGGAATAATAGTAGGGTTATTGATCGATACGTCTATTTTATGAACAGTTAATGTAGGATATCTCCAACGAGCCATCAATTGCTTTTTTTGTGTTTCTGCGTCCAGTTCCTCATCAACAATTTTCATTTTACATTGTGTTTCTTTATCCGCTTCAGACTCTTTCACTGGACTGGGTGAGGCTATAGTTGAGTGATGGGTTCGAGTACTCGATTGAGCTGTTTTAGAAGTTTTCATCCATTCTACGATTGGACCATATAGTCTTTCTTCTGTTTCAGTTACTGGTCTAACATCTTTATAAAAGTCTACAAGACATGTCAACATATCCTGTATGTATTTTTTTATCTGAACAAACCTGGCACAAGTACTTTCTTATCAGTGTCAACCAACTTTCCAAGCACATGTATTAAGTCAACTAATGGTTCAGAGACAGCTCCACCTTCAACACCTGAGTGTAAATCTGCACGTTGGTTGCAAATGGATACTGTAGCATGTACAACACCTCTTAATCCGTATGTTATACAAGGCACATCCTCTCCTAGCCAGTATGAATTACTTTTTTATCTTGTTTTTTAGTACCCTTAATAAAGCAATGGTAATTACATGACATACCTTAATAAAATCATATCGACATCTTTAAATAAATCCTTATTCTGTTCCACCGCTTCATACAGGCCTATACTTCCACTTTCTTCTTCACCTTCAATCAAGAATACTACATTCACATCCAATTGCCCTTCTTTTAGTAATTCATTTACGGCAAATATACAAGCAAGCATAGGACCCTTTAAGACAAATTAACAGATTGAATAAAACCAATGATTTACACCTTACTTTATTGTCACTTGTGCCTCTTCCATAGAGATAGCCATTCTTGCCTGTTAACTCAAAAGGATCACTACCCCACATGTTTTTCTCATGTTCAACCGCGATCACATCATAGTGTCCATAGATCAGCACGGTAGGCACACGTTTTTGGTCATTGCCTTTGCCGCTAAATCTGCCATACACGAGTGGGTTACGTCCTGAAGCTCCAGGTATCATTCGACTGACAGCACCAAGTTGTTGAAGAACATTCTTTAAGAAGCGAGCTCCTCGTCTACACTCTTCCATGTACCTTGGCATGCCGCTTACCGTTCGGATGGCAACCCACTTTTCTAGAACGTAGAGCATCATATCAGTCGAAGGTGTACCTTGTAGGGTGCCGCTGCTGTACCTCCGCATCATGTCAGCAGGTGCATGGACATTCGAGGAAATATCCCAAAATTTGATAGACTGGTCACTGCTTCCTGAGATCAGGCAATCTTCACGCTCGGTTAAGGATAAGACAATGCCATGGTGTTCTGTCAAAACCTCTTTTAGTTGAAATACCTCGTCCCACAATCGAATTGAACCGTCCGCTGATGCACTGATGAATCCACCTCTTCTCACTGCAATGGCCAATACATCATCCTATAATGAACTTTAGTCTTATAGTCTCTCTCTCTTTCTCATCTACTTACAGTATGTGCAATGACTGATCTGATCATTTGATACTAGCCCATATTAGTCTTTTTCATATTTAAATAATAAATATTCCTTTCTCTTACTGTTTCCAAATCCCATATCTATTTCAGACATTAATATTCAAATAGTCAGGTGAGCGTGTACTACCCGTACCTGAATGTCACCACCTTGTACACCACAAAATAAGTAACCATCTTCGGAAAGAGCAAGAGACAATATGCCCTTGTCCGAATTGCCTTTTAATGTACGCATATGCTGAATGACACCCTGACTGATGGACCATATCTATACATGTTGTATAAGCTCAGCGTTGGTAAAACACTACCGTTCAAGATGTTTTTACCTTCACATTCCCATCACCTGACCCACTGATCAAGACTTCACCTTCCATGTTGGGAACATCTTTTGCATGCAACAGACAATAAACATATCCGTCGTGAGCATTACTAAACACATTCTTCTCTCTGATGACACACTTGATGACATTTTTATCAAGTAGTTCCTGAAGCCTTTCTTCCTCTTCATCTAAATGACCACCCAGTTCAAAGAAGTTAATTGGCTTTCCTTTTCGTCTTCTGGGAGAAGGAGGCACACTGGGTATATCAATTGTATGACCATGCGTCTGAGGATCAGCAAAGTCGTACCACTAACCAAATATAAAACAAGTATGAGGCTATTTTCATCTGATATTGCAACATTAAAAAAACTTGCCTGGATACTTGTATTCTGACTACCAAAGAATAACATGTTGTTTTTATCGGAATAAACTACAGAAAAGATATCTCCAACGTCATGGCAGGATTGAATAAGATAGGCGCATGTCAACGTTTCCGTATTCCAAACTCGAACTGTACCATCCCCTGAGCAACTGAACAAGTACTGCTCGTCTGCAGATAATGTCAATCCTAATACACTTCCTGTATGTCCTCTCAGGATCGTCACTAGTCTGAATGTTTGAAGACACCAAACCTGTAAAGAGGTATAAATATTGGGCTAATAGAGTACACTAGAGTATTTTACATGGATCTTTGAGCTCTGACTTCCGCTAAATAAATAACGTCTACTGTTAACCAATGATAACACTGAATTGTTATCCTCTTGTGATATCGTATGTATACAGCGTGCTGGGTGCGTTGGTCTACTGTTTGACAACTGTGACAGATTGCCTTTAGCATGTGTTAATCAAGTTTTGTTTATTTTGGTATTTTCTCCTTCTTATTAACTTGCCTAAGATGCCCAAGCCTTCTTTTCCGTAAAGAGAAGGCTCCATCGTTCCGATATCAAATAAAAAAGAAAAAGGAAAAAAGAAAAAGATAGGGTTGTTTGACAATTAAAGATGATTGTTTTCAATCTCAGAGCTTCTCGTGTATCGTTGGCAATAAACACCCAAAAAAATTTAGTAGTCACGAAATGAATACGAAGCTTGCCCCTATTCTGATATGGAGAAAAAAAGTTTAATTGTAGACTTTTACGCGTTTTTCTAGTAACTATGCCTATCACTAATATCAGCGACAGCTTCACAATCCACATCATTCCTGAATATGATGATGAAGTTACCACTAGTCGTTTTGCTAATGAAGCAGACTTTGAAGAGTGGTTCAGCAATATTGCCCAGAAACATGCTAACTGGAGCCTTCGCCAAAGCTGGACTAACGAGAAAGCAAAATCTTTTCTTGGCCAGTCTCTTGCAATCACTTTGAGATTGAATACTATCAAGTATCAATGTGATCATGCAAGAAAGCTAGAACGAAAAAATCGATCAAGATCGAAGAACATGTTAATCAAAACATGGTTTGGAAGTCTATCAAGGATTTTCGTAGGATGGACGAAGCTCGTCTTTTGCAAGTATGTATTCTTTTATTATTGGAGCTCATATGATAGCTTCTGATTTTTGTCTAGATCGAACAAAATGATATCTCTTCTTCTTTTTCTCCTTCGCTTCGAATCAGTTATTACGACGTTAGAGACGTCATCAATGCTAGGTTGATGAAATTGAGAGGAAGAGCTATTCTTGGTAAGGATAGTTTCCAAATTTGAATGGAAGAGCTGGTCGAAAAAGGAGCAAAGACTTTGCTCAAGGTGCACGAAGATGGACCGTTTTTTGCTTCTTGGGCTGCTAAATGGCAAATGAAGGTAAAGTTTCTTGATGAAAAGTGCATCTATGTCAGCTAAATCTAAGCATAACTATAGCATTTACAGGAAGCCGAAGAGTGGTGCATAGACTTGACACACAAAACATGCAAATCATTCAATGACCTAAAAAGAATGGCTACTTGTTCACTGTCGTTGTTAGAAGCTCTACCACTAGCAAAGGCCCTCCTGTTTAGGTCTTTGTTACCGATCATGAGATCATTCCCACCTTGCGTCAGTGGCTAAATTGGTTGAAAGACAACGTTAATCTTAACGTCAAAAGAATCATGGTCGATTGTAGTCCCACGGAAATTGCTGCTATAAGAGAAGTCTTTGATAATGTAAACATACTTTTATGCCATTAGCATATCAAGCGTTCGTGGGAAACTCACATAAAGAGAGACGTAAGTTTTAAATATGTGTTTAATGCATACGTTAAACATTATGTAACGTTTAGGTGAAAATAAACAAGTCTACTCAAGAAACAAAGCTGGTAAGAGATGATGCTCGTGCTAATCTGAATAGCATGATGTACTCTGAAACGCCGGAAGTATTCAATCTGGCTCATCAGCTGTTCCTTGTTGAAAATGAGGAATCTGAAGTATTCCTTGTATACTTCAGCAGCTTGTGGCTTCCGAAAAAGGAATTGTGGTTCAAAGCGTGGAGACAGGTAATCATTATTGCTTATTGCTCATCATAAAAACAAATATCCTAATCTGAAGTTTTACTCAAGTTCTCACTTGGATATTACTTTTCATTTTATGGCCAATAATTTCGTGTGGGTATTTATCGTTACTCTCGGGAGTGTAGTGTCCCCAAAGAGACCTGAAAATAATTACTCTTACCACAAGATAAATACCCTGTCCTTTCATATACAGGAAGCAATGTAGTGCATAAGATATGATATACTATATCGCGTGAAGGCAGTTGGGAAGAGGCTGAAGTTATATCAGATGAGGAAGACCATGAACGAGAAGCAGAATTGTTGCCGCACAAAGCAAAACAGCCTTTAGGTGAAGATGCTTCAAGCCGACGAATAGGACAATTAAAGTCAATAGTGAAGCATTTAGTTTTTCACAATCCAAAATTATTTCAGAGATCGATGTTAAAGCGCAATCTTGTGATACAACAGATAAAGAAACTTCAGCATGCACCCTAATTGTCAACACCGTAAAACTATTTCTACCCTTTAAAGAGAAACACAGCGCCATAGCTCATCAATCGTACTTCTGTATATGGACAAATGGTGTTTTAAAATATGCAGGATATTCAAAGTTTACTATGGTGTTACACCCTTCCACATCGTTCTCCTCACTAAACGCACTGCATTTGGATGCGCGTACACTGTATCAGCTGCTGGCCCAGAAACTAACCGAAGTAAATCAAGACCAATCATCAGATCAAGAGGGAAAGCTGGCAAGTAAACTAGTAGTCTACAGGTACGACCAGCAACCGATTACGTCACTTGAATTTGCATGGCAAAACAAAGATGCAGCCTTTAATGCTATCATTAATATGGACGTGCTGCAGACTAGCTGCAGATCATATGGCTTAGGTTTTGCTTATAAGATAATCTGCCTCCCAGGCTTGACGATTACACGTATTTTGGGTACACAAGAAAAGGCTATCAATATCCTTAACGAGCTGAAGAAAGCGTCCTACGAATAGAGACTTTTAAAGAATCCCAATATCATCCTAGAATGCCATAAGTCCAAAGGAAGCCTCTCCGCCGAAATAAAGTTCTTGTCAGATGTAATCAAGCAATTAGAAGGTGACTTGAAAAAGATATTGAATTCTCAAAACAAAAGCAATTTCTCTGGGCAAATACGCACACTAAAAAATCAATGGGGAAAAAGAGATAAGGACAGGCTGCATAAAGATATTAAACCTCTGAAAATTGCACGAAATTCGTCTTACGAAAAGGTAAATCAGCTGAAAGACGAACTCGCACAAAGCAGGCAACAGCTCTATTTCAAGCAAATGGCAAGCCGATACCATGCTAAGCTACCTAAAACTAAAGAACCCTCTCTAAGCAATCGAACTTTTATAAAGAAAGATGAAGAGGGCCTATCAATGCTGAAGCATGTGAACTGGCGCCTCCAAATGGTTTCCTTTTTGCAGGCACAGACAATGGTTTGGTGAAAATGACAGCCTCGGTTCCACTTTCATTACAAAGAGCGAAATTTCATTTAAAGCTCTATAACCACTACGCAGCTTTGGAAAGTGCAGAAATAGATGAAATATCACAACTGGATTTGAATGATGAAGAAAGCCCCTTTCTGAACTTGCCCAAAATAATTGGGACGCCAGCTGGTGATGTTGATCTGGGTTGCGACTATTTCCGCCAAAGAAGCTGGAAGGGAAGAAGAAAGAAACAGAAGAAGAAAAGAAGATGCAGACGATAGAAGATGCTATGAGCAAATTAAACACGGGCAACAGTGCCATATCAACAGGCTAACATCCAACTTTGAAACAAATTTTGGTAACCGCAACCAAATGCGAATTTTTTACTATAATGCAAAAAGTATCAACCAGCGGCGGCACATTGAACTGCAAAAAGCCCGTTATTGTCATAAGCTATGCCGAAAAGAGCGATTAAAGCCCATGCATACGGCAGGTAATGCATCTTTAAATCATTTTGTATGACTACTGATGTGTATTGTCTTGATGCTTGTCGAGGACAAAGGAACAGGGGTCAGTTCCAGGATTAAAGGCCTCAGGGTGATACGGGGGCAAGTGGAAAGAGAACATGCATACTGAAGCAATCAACGTTTGTGTGACGAACGAGAACAAGACATCTCAGATCTGTGTCTTTTGCTTTAAGAAGTTGGCTCACCCAAAGCCAAAAGAAATAAAAATGGAAAGACAGCATTCAAGAGTGCAAATCCCTCATGTGCCTCAGTAAGGAACGGGAAAGCAGTCAAATCAAGAAACGCATTATCTGCTCTGGTGATTGGCCTTGTAGGCTTTGGCACCATACTTTTTGATGAAAAATTTCCAGCTTATAATCCAATCAGTCAAAATAATACCGAATATTTTATCAATATCACATCTGCCTTCTTGAATCGAAGCGTAGATAGGCAACCACGTTGCAGTTCTGGAGGTAAGAATGGTTAAGCACAGCATAAAGAAGCAGAATTTAATTTTCTTTTTATTTTGTAACTGCTTCATTTTTGTGGTGATTTATCGTTACTCCTCGTGTATGAAGGAGAGGGGTATTTTGTTTATTTGAATAAATTAGTTGTAATTCATTATAAAAAGTGCTCACTGTCATTGTCGTCATTATCATTGTTATTGCTTGTTTGATTTTAGCTTTATTAATGCATCCTATATGATACTATGATTAGAAAGAGGGAGAAGGATATTTAAAAAGACTAAACGTACCTTGAAATTGAAACTGTCATTTGGCTGAACAAAGGGATGCTCTAACAGTTGCTTTGCTGTAGGTCGATCTTCAGGGTTACTACACAACCAGTGTTAGTTTTGATTGCAGAATGGATGACAAACACTTACATTCTGAAACACCGCTCAAGGAAATCCTTTGCCTCGGGTGAGATATTAGAGGGTATTTCGGGTGACTTGTGATTACCAATCTAATAAGGACCCATGTTAGTATATTGTTATTCATATATTGGCTCATATACATCTTTACCGCATATAAAGCTGCAAGGCTTGTCAGATGCATCCATGGATGCGTTCCAGTTAGCATCTCGAGTACAGTACATCCCAAGCTCCTGTTCAAATGTTTAATTACAGAATCCATTGTATTTTCCTTTCTTACCAAATATCCACTTTTGCACTATAGTTGTTAGTAAGTGCCTCTGGTGCCATCCAAAATACGGTTCCTTTCATGGTTGAGTTGTTGGATACACTGTCATACGCACTTTCATTTTGATTTTTGGATAATCCAAAGTCTGTAATTTTACAAATGCCATTTTGGTCAATGAGTACATTTCCTGCCTTGATATCCTAAAGAAAAAGAGAATAAGATGGATGATTTACTGTGAAAAACAATAGCTTACTCTATGAAGAATACCACGTTCGTGTAGGTACTCTAGACCCTGAAGTATTTGACGGGTGAAAAATGAAATTAAGGGTTCTTCAAAGACACTGTACTGCTTTAATAAACTGGCAATACTCCCGCCTGGCACGTATTCGAGAAAGATAAAGATGAGCCCTTCGTCAGGATTAAAGTCATACCCCATGTACTGTACAATATTGATATGATCAAGATCTTTGAGGAGCGAAATTTCGTGATAGAGAGCATCCGCTGCTTCTTTTAGATCCTGGTTGCGCTTATCTGCTTGGGTGACGGCAACATCAACTTGCTTGACGGCAATCCATTCACCTGTAGCTACATTGAGCGCATGGTAAACACGACCAAAGGAACCTCGGCCGATGAGTTCACCACGCATCCACTGCATTCTAGTTGGCACGGGTTTATCACTGGCTACGATGCACCCTTCTTCACCCGGTTTCACGCGCTCGACCTTGCTGCCCCACATCTTGGTGCTTTTTCGTCTCAACACTGTATTGCCTACATTTCGTGTCTCTTGTCTCCAGCGTCGGTGAGCCTCTTTAGCAACCACACGTACGGATGGTCTATGACCGTGCAGTCTCCTGGAGATGCTGGGTGGAATAGCATTATTCTCAACCGTAATTTCTTTATCCAAATCGTGGCCTGGCAGGTACTGATCAATGTTGCGGTACAATTTCTCTACAGACGGACGTTCGCCAAGAACATCATCTTCTGCAAAGGCATCACCGTCGCTCTTTTGAGATCCAATCGGCGACGGTGGTTCTGTCGGGGTGGCGCTGCTGCTAGTAAATGATTTGACGGCGGTAAAGTCCAAGTCATCGTTTCTTGGCGTGGGAGGATCATAGAGGGAGATACCCTCGACGTTCAGCTGCTGCTCGACTGGCCATGAAGAAGGCTGTGTGTTTAGCAGATGCTTGGACGGAGGTGTTGCCCAAAGCTCACTGGACGGAATTGAAGGTGGATTGGCAAAACGATAGCCAGCTGGCGCCAGTACGTATCGAACATAATGAGGGTCATGATAGGTCGATCTCTGTTGACACATGAGCTCATATCCTTCAACCGGTACAACCAACACACGATTAGTCCTGCTGTCGTCCGATGATTGGCACACACGGACGAGCTCTTCATCGGTCAGAGGAATAGCTAAAACTGAGTTTAGTAAAATGTAGTCATGACAAAAAGGAAATGCAGGTGACATTACTAGACTGGACACCGTTTTCGTGATAAAAATAAAAGTACGAAGGATCAGCGTCAATCGACAGCTTTTGTAAGACAGCATGCTTAATTGTCAGAGCATCGCTTGATTCTTTGATCCACAGCTTTATGAAGGTGTCTGCATCCAAAGTGACCTGGATTCGTCTATCTTGAGTCAATGCGTGTTGAAGAGGGACACGCTTGCCAAGCAATTTAGAAAGAATCTCTGGGTCGCTTGGGTTGATTCTCGGACTCGTTGGACTTTTTGTTTTCATGTGGAGTATGCTGGGTTGAAAGGCCTCGAGTATTTTAGATACATTGGATTCAGTTGAGGAAGTACGTTTGGGTATATATTGACTAATATCGAAATGCTGATTATTAGGTGAGGTAGTAATTTTAGTATGATTATTGGCAGAAGGGATGATGATACGAGGTAATGATTGTCTATGTAAATGCTGGTGTTGTGCCTATTTTAGAATAGATAAATAAGGTAAAAGTATATGCACACAATACTATATACAGTACTTGATCTGCTTTCACTTGTTGAATAGCTGATAATAACCTTTGTTTCTCTGAATGGCTGATATGAACATGATTTAATACATCATCTAATTTTTCCATTGTCAAGTTTAAAAATTGATCATGCTGGATTCTATGTTCTAATATAAATATGAGTTCATGTTATAATCTACAAAAAAATTGTTACCATAAAAAACGGGTACTAGGGGACTCCAACCATTTGTGATTAACCACTTTCTAACATTATCTGATGTCCAAACGATGGGTTTATCCTGTATCATAATCACATATATATTAAATATAAAGGAAGGAAGAAAAAAAAGGAAAATCTCTCTTACTCTTTCCCTTTTTTCTTGCCAATGGGATGTTGTGTAACAATGAGGTTTCTATGGAAATAGTAACCATGGCATAATGATAGAGACAAAAAAGGGGAGAAAAAAGAAAGGAGAAGCACACCGCTTCGAAAAATAAAGTCGCACATACCATCAAAGTAAAGTCTATTGTAAAAAACGTGATAGTGATATTTTACAATAGTTGATTTATATGGCTATTTTAAGCAGTATCATGAAAATAAAAGATAAGGTTTGAGACACCCTTTTTTCTATTTGCCCAGTCTTTCTTTTTTTCTTTCTAAGCATGATTTTATATCACAAAAAAGGAGATGCAGGTAAGGCAGTTGCGAATTCAACTCGAATAGCAATGTTGATTCTCGTTCTTTCACTACTTAAGGGATATAGTATTTTATATGGCTTGAAAGTAAAACAATTACAAAAATATCTCAAAGGGCATGTGAAAGCTTTACAATGCTTAAACGTTATGCTATTGAAAAAAAGAAAACAGAAATTTGATAAAGGGCAATAACTTCATGGCTAGCAAGTTAGGCCCCATTGTCCTGCTAATCAAACCTCTAAAGAAGTATACATTAATCATAAGTGAGGTACTGCGGCTCTTTACTGCTGAATTTATCATACTTTGTTGGCTTTCAATAAACAAAAAGTGCCACCGTATTTGTTATTTTTACGCATTTACCCTTGAAAAGGATAACTCGGGTGGGTGAGATTGTAAAGTTATATCAGCCTGTTAATTATAAGAACTCTTGAGATGTATTTTTGTCAAAGGACATCTGCACCTAGTCGCTTATACCATGCATAAATGGATTAATCGGTTAATTTTGCGCTCCCCTGAGCTTATGCCTTAGTGATGTTTAAAAACCAATATCTTGGCATGAGCAGTATTGCCAAGATATACTCAGTCACTTTTCGCTTTGTCTTGATCCTTATAGGGCGTATTACTATGATTTATTGGTATTTATCTCGGCTACTTTCTTCTTTTCTGTCTACATTTATCCCATTGTCTTCCTTTATTAAGGTACTTTCAACGGATACGCGCTCGTCAATAGTAGTAATCTTTACCATCTTTGTACAGCTTTGAATGCTCATTGCGAACTTTGTTCAGTTTATTATGAAAATATTAAATAGTTTTATTTACAATAAATAATTACTTTGATCTTCTTTTACTCTTTTTTTTTGTCGACCGTCTTTTCATGTTTCCAGATCTATTTCGTTTTTTAATGACATCAGTTTTTAAACTCAGCGGACGAACCACACCATGAAGTTTCAAGAATAGGCCACATGCATTGCATAAAACCTCGCCCTCTGGGTTCCTTCGCCAAAGGGGAGTATTTGTCGTTTCACAGTTACTACATTTTATATCGCAATCCACTTCTTTTTTAATTTGTTTCTTTGCTTGTGTGATCAATGGTGTTGATTTCTTTTTATGGCTGGATCCCCAATCAGGGTCGTCATCCTCCTCTTCTATTTCTTCATATTCTTCCTCTTCAAATATATATTCTTCTTCTTCCTCTGGCTCTTCTTGTTCTTCTTCATCTTCAGTCACTTGATGGTATGTATCATCCATTAGCTCTTTGTCAGATAATATCACATCTTCGTCACTTAGTTGTAAAGGGGAGTATGAAAGGGATTCATGCTGAAATGATTCTTCATTCAGGGATTCACCAGAGGATGGTATTATGTCTTCATCTTGATGATGTATAAATAAAGAAGGATCCAGGTTAGGGGATAATAGATCATGTGTTGCTGTGCTTGATAGTATTTGCAATGGATGAATGTGAGATATTTGCTGTTCTTGATTTAAATAAAGAGAACAATTGGTTTGATTGCCCATGACAAATGAAGGGTTAATGGTATGGGCTTCTTGTAGTAAAAATGGTCTTTGTGCGTAAAATGAGTACATGATTAAAGAAGAAAAGAGAAAAGAATGAAAGAGAGGGAAGCAAAGAACTAGTATTTATGGTGAAATGCGTGCATCAAATGACGAGCGTTTCCTTGACATCGTGTGTGACACGAAATTTTTCGAAACATTACCTTGTCCACAAGGCAAAATTCATTTGTTCAGGCTTTGTTTTACTATGCACACCCCATTTGATAAGCAAACTTTGTTTTCAAATAGAGATAAAAATTTTTAATAGGAAATTTTTACGTTCCCACACGATATGATAGATAATCGCTATAGCAACAATTAAGAGATAATGTAAATAAACATATAAATAAAGAAAATAGCATCTAGACCATACTCACACAGCATATGTTCATATGAAGAGTATTTCAACCAATCAAATAAGAACTTTATTCTCGTCGATCAATCTTTACACGTGCCTCTACAAAAAACTACCGTGCTTTTTCGCTGGATTTACTAAATTTTTTAATTTCAACAAGTTGAGCTGCTCAATCAATCTCGCTCGTGTGTGCCTAGTGATGGTCATGAGGAATGTTGATGTAAATATTATTGTTTTTTTTTTTATACCTTGGTTCAACAATATCATCCAAATAGCCCTTCTTGGCTGCAAACAAGGGTGTTGCAAACCTCTCCTTATACTCCTTCTTCATCGCTGCCTTGTCTGGATGATTTCTGAAAATGATTTCTACTGCACCGCCTGCTCCCATGACAGCAATTTCAGCAGATGGCCATGCAACACTAAAGAAGCAAATAAGAATAATAAACAATATGCATTCAATCACACTTACTTGTAGTCCCCTCTTAAATGTTTTGAGCTCATCACAATATACGCTCCACCATAAGCTTTTCGCGTGATTACTGTCAGTTTGGGAACAGTTGCTTCACAATAAGCATAAAGCAACTTGGCACCGTGTTTGATGATCCCTCCATGCTCTTGAGATGTGCCTGGCATGAACCCAGGTACGTCTACAAAAGTTACCAAGGGGATGTTAAATGCATCACAAAATCGTATGAAACGTGCTGCTTTCAGAGATGCATCTATATCGAGCGCTCCAGAAGATACGAGTGGCTGATTGGCTATAACCCCAACAGGCTGTCCACTCAATCTTGCAAATCCCACTAAAATATTGCTAGCATAATCAGCTGATATTTCATAAAAGGAATGTGCATCAGTCACCTATAGTTTAATTAGTATGAAGAAAAACAAATAAAAGAAGTCTTACTCTGGCCACTATTTCCTTCATATCATACGCAATTGCAGAATCAGATGGTATAATTCTATCTATAGCCTCATCTTCTCTGTCAACTGGATCATCACATTCAACAGTAGGAGCTGACTCCCGATTGGATTGTGGTAAATAAGTGAGCAAGTCTCGGACTCTATTATATAAACCATTCAACATGACGTTTTTTCACGTCACCTTTTCTCACTAACTAACCCTTGTAATGCTTCGGCATCATTATCAAACGCATTATGGGCCACACCACTCTTTTCTGTATGTGTCCTGGCCCCTCCCAACTCTTCCTGGCTTACTTGTTCATTCAACACCGCCTTAACCACGTCAGGCCCAGTGACAAACATATAAGAGCTATCTCGAACCATGAATGTAAAGTCAGTCAATGCTGGACTGTAGACCGCACCACCTGCACAGGGCCCCATCACGACTGAAATTTGCGGTATTACGCCAGAGGCTAGTACATTCTTTTGAAATATATCTGCATACCCTGCCAATGAATTGACTCCTTCCTGGATTCTTGCTCCTCCACTGTCCTGAAGGCCAATGACAGGCGCACCTACCAACATTGCTTGATCCATCACTTTTAGTATTTTGTTCGCATTCGTCCTCGACAGACTGCCCCCTAACACAGTAAAGTCTTGGCTGTACACAAACACCCTTCGCCCATGAATTGTTCCATGTCCTGTGACGACACCGTCACCCGGTATCTTATGTTGGCTCATGTCAAAGTCCGTGCACTCATGCTCGACAAACGTATCATATTCTCGAAAAGAGCCCCTGTCTAATAATAATCCGAGTCGCTCTCTTGCTGTCAATTTTCCCTGTGGTTTTGTTCATTAATTATTTTATCTCTGCCCTTGATTTATATTTTACTTTCTTGTGTTGTGCTTCTATTCTGGCTGGACCCCCTCCTTCTTCAGCTTGTCTTCTTTTCTCATTTATTATTGTTGTCATTGTTGAATAGAATCTGCTCTAATCACAAAGTTGTTACTTCAAATGTCGTAACAAGTCAAATAGTTCTTACTTTTACTGCATTAGAATACAAATAGCAACTGGATCGTGTAATCAATTTTCTCGAAAGCATGCTTAAAAATGAATGAATAAAAAAAAAAGTGCCTGTGTATTGTTCAATAGTCGGGGCAAGAAATTCTCTCACACTTGCTCACTTAAAGCTTGTCCCCCTTTCTATATTTAGAGTGAAGATCATCCCCCTTTGATCTTTCTTCTCTCATACAAGCACACATCCCTACTTGTAATCTTTTTTCAGTAGACGCGTCTTTTACACATTAATGCTTAATTAAAGGTCAGACTTCATGCGTATTTTTTACGTCATTGCCATATTTGTTTTGATGTCAATAAATTAAAATTTCCTACTCTCTCTCTTTTTTTTACATTGTTTTCTCCCTCTCTCTTTATACAATGCCTCAGTATTTTAATACGACAGATGACTGGCTAACTCTAATAGGTGCTTCATTAGCGTTACTTGCTCTAGCTATGGTACCTATTTGTATAGGATCATCCATTTCGCTTCAAATGATGAAGACGCCGTCCAAGAAAAAGATTATGTTTGCTAATACAATGGATGAAGATGAAGTAAAGACTCAGGTGCTCTCTTCTCGTCACGCTCTTTTTTTCCCTATTGTCGGATTTATTGCTCTCTTTTACACCTATTTGGCGCTCAAGGCGATTGATCCGGAGTATATTAATGAAGGTATAGCGATCATGACATCCATTCTATCTACTGCTTTGATGTCAAACACGATCCTACTCGTTGCCAAGAACAATATTCCTAACCAATGGTTGGAAAAAATCGATGACTATCAATTTAGCTTTAGTCGACGAGGTCAGGGTAAGCTTACAGTATTAGAGTGTAATGGATTGATATTTATCCTCTTTATTTACCAGCCATGTGCGAACTTCATGTCACTGTGATTCATTTATTCATATTTGCCATTTCTATTGCGTTTTCTATTACCTATGCTGTCACTCAACACTGGGCAATTGGTGACCTCTTTGCTGTATCACTTATCATCAATGCTATTGGATTCCTCACCGTCGATTCCTTCTGTACAGGCTTTATTCTTCTATGCGGCATGCTAATTCATGATCTACTCTGGCTTTCGGGATCAGAAACCATTGTTGGAATAATAGAAAGCTTTTCAGGCGCTCCTACCAACATCGTTTGGCCCAGGTACATTGAAACGTTTGTCCTCAACAAGCTGGTTCAAGAAAATCAGTTGTTTACTACGTTCAGTATCACGGATATCATCATCCCAGGTAAGTGTGTTGTGTGTGTATATCAAGACGTTGTTGAATTGATATCTCCCCTCAAAAAACAGGCATCTTTGTAGCTTATTGTTTACGTTTTGACAGAGAAAGGGCATGGAATAAGGGCGTGACAAGTGATGAGTTTGATAAACCATTTTATAATGCTGCCGTGGTGGCCTATGCTGCAGGAGCTGGCGCTTCTATCATTGCCGTTCATTTAACGAAAAGGGCCCAATCAGCACTGCTTTACATTACCCCAGCTTTACTCCTTTCCGTTCTGCTAACTGCTATCAAAGAAAGAAACCTCCGTGAAGTGACCGACATGGCTCCTTTCATTCAATCAATCAAGAAGCTTAATTTTATGGCAGAACGTGACGAAAGACCGGAGCGATTTGTCCCCAGGTCACCATCCACGAGTGGTAAGAACGGTAAAAGCCGTAGCAGTAAGACTGGTAGAAGCAGAACAAGGAGCGTGAGTAAAGGAAAACGTACGAGGAGCAAGACAAGCAAACCGGTAGATGCCACTTTACCAGCTTCTACCGGAATCTCTGATATAGATGTCACTGTGCGGTCATCTCCTGAAAGTACCAAACAGGGTATAGTGAATGGCCATGAACACCAAATCACATCTGATAACTCAAGGAAGAGATACTCGAGTAGAATCAGCAAAAAGAAACAATTAGAAGACTATATTGAAACAGCTTAAGGCCTCGCTTTACACTTAGAAATATATATATATTTTTACCTCCTCTCTTTATTCTAAATAACTAATCTGAACAAACCAGCAGAAATAAACACTTGAAGCTACTTTAATGTCCAACTTGTTTCTATAAAATCTTAAACTTACCTACGCCAGCAACACCTAAACCTACTGCCGTACCTTGTTTGCCAGGTATCTTGTTTACTACTTTTGCTTGATGTAAGGCATATCCGCCCAAACCAGTAAAGGCAAGACTACCAGTTATTTTGCATGGCAAGCAGTCTTCATAGGGTTTATCTTGTTCTTTATTATCATTATTATTTAATATCGACTGTACTTTCTAATTTTTCATACAATCAGTTCAATCTTTCTTTTAACACACCTTGTATAATTACGTTAATCATGGCGAAAGAAGGACCATAGAAAATACACCTCTCTTTTCTTTATAAGAGCGGTTTCTGAAAGGTCCTTCTTTTTTCCGGCCTGGACTCTAATTCAAAATTGCATTGATGCAACTGACAAGCCTTTTTTTTCTTTTCCTTTTTCTCTTTCTCTTTACTATTACAATATGAGGCCCGCACGTGTACAAGTAAGTGGTAGTAGTAGTAATAGCTATGATAAGCACCATAACTTATATCCCATATGATAGGTATCTCAGGCAGAGCTTGATGAGTACATTAGAGAAAAAAGACCTGAAGGTGGAACATATAACATTTGGCATCATCGATACTCTGGATTAGAAAGAGATTTTAATAAAAGAAGGTTCGTGTGTAGAAGAAAATCAAAAAAAAAAAAAGAGTAGAAGCTTACATCATACAGTTATCGACCCAAGTATAAAGTGGACATTGCAAGGGATTCAGGAGAAACAGTGGGATCAAGAAATCCTAATGCTTACTTTTGTCTATTCTTTGCAAAAGGCATGTGTACACAAGGTCCTCGTTGCAATATGTGGCATCGTATTCCTAGAACAGATGATGTTTTTGAAACGACAATCGACTGCTTTGGACGTGATAAGTTTACGTAAGTCTTGTTTGATCTTGGTTGATCATACTCTCACTGTTATATAGCGATTTTCGTCAGGATATGGGTGGTGTAGGTGGATTTTTAAAGGAAAACCGTACACTATACGTTGGACGTATTGCTGTGACAGATGATGTAGATGAAGTCATTAAAAGACAGTTTGGTCAATTTGGACCATTAGAAAGAGGTACACGCGTGTGATGAAAACTTGTACAATAGAAAACTCACAATCATCATAGTGAGAATTCTGAAGGGTCGTGGTGTTGCATTTGTGACATACAAGACGAGAGCAAATGCAGAGTTCGCGAGAGAAGCCATGATGAATCAAAGCCTTGAAAATAATGAAATCATCAATGTCAGATGGGCTACGTCAGATCCTAACGCGATCGCAAATCGTTTGGATGCTGAAGATGATAAGAAAAGAGCAGCAGAAGAAGCAGCTCGAGAGGAAGAGGAACTGATTATAGAATTTGAAGAGGAACCAGAATTACCGCCAGAACCTCAGAAAAAAAGAAATGTAGTCCAAGCTGGTCTACAGGAATCAGACTCTGCTGCAAAAAAACAAAAAGAGGATGAAGTAAATGGATATGATTATACAGAAGAAGACATTGAAAATTATTATGATTATTATAACTCTGAGCAACAAGAACAGCAGCAATATCTAGAACAACAATATCAATATCAATATCAAGAGGAACCAGTTAAGGAAGAAGGCATTATTCCAAAAAAAGTACTTGATAATCTAAAAACTCTCACTAAAAATTCACCTGCAACTATCACAGCCAAAACAACAACCAATGACTCCTTGGGCGGTTTAGCTGATTATGGAAGCAGTGATGAAGAATAAGAATAAAAACTTATTTTACTCAGACTTGTTTGATGTTTAAACATCAAATTGGCCTTCTCGCAATTATACAACCTTGCAAAAACCCGTTCTCTCCTACTTCTCTTTCTATCATTTCCCACTTCAAAAGAAGCAAAGAAATAACAGAAAAAGAAAAAAGAAAAAACGCCATCTGCTCTGAACAAGGATGGAGATTCATCATTGTAAAATAAGTTGAAAGAAAAAAAGAAAAAACTTCGTCTAATTTCGAACTTGATTCGACCAAGAGCCTGTATATTTGTATTATATAAAGCTGGCTTTGAAATACTGAGATGCACCATCTCGAGAAAAGAATTCCATCGCGTATCAGCCTCAGTCTTTCACTGTTTCAATTATCATTTACCACTTCCACTTGGCAAATCAGCCCTTATTACCAATACGCGGTAACAGTTTTTCGACTGGGTTCGTCGTAGCAGTACGGTGGCTATCAACAATAACGGCACCTGTCAGAAAAAACGTCAACCCTGTTCGTCTACAGAGCCATTGGTAGCGCTTGAGACGGTCAACTTTAGGTTTGCTCATCCCAATGAGGTTGACTTTTTTCACGACATTTGTAGCCCCTTTTAAGTTCAGTAACTGAAAATATATAAATATAGAACGATTTTTCAAAGAATAAAGAGTCATTCATCAAACTAAAATGAAGTCATCCGCCATCTTTCTTGCTACTCTTTTCATGATTCTTTGTCCTCAACAACGTAATTTATGCAAAACGTCCTTTTTGTTCTCTTGCAATGTTTACCTGCAGAAACTGGGGATATCGTGATGCTATACACTCTTTCCGGAAAGTAATTTTTTTTTTTTTTGTAAAATGGTATATTTTATTCAAGTACCGCCAGTTAGCTTGTACTTATTAAAGAAAATAATAAAGAACATAGAAGCACGGAACAAAATAAAGGTTGCGTTAACCTGAGCGAGATGTTTTTAGACGCTCTCTATAGATATTCTCATCATGTATTCGCTTGATTGCTTG